TAGCTCAGTAAGGAGAGCCAGGGGTCATGTCCAAGTCCCGAGGGGTGATGCAGGAGGAGCTGCTCCATGAAAGTCACCTGACGTCTTTAAATGATCGGAGTTCACCCCAGAAGTCCACTGATTTAAGCTGCATCTCCAGACATCTGAAGGTTTCATTGCTCCTCTGTCCCTGACTTCCTTGTTGGTAAGGTGTATACCTCCTGTAATCTTTATATTATTGACCAGTTTGCATGAAAACCTGTAAGTATGTGGATTGCTACAGTAACTGCTTGTCACCATGAAAACAAAGTAAATAATTCTTTCCTACAACAACAATGTACCCCAAACCTTTCCCTGCTATTACCCTAAATGATACTGTTATGTTGCTCTGTTAAGTGCTGTTTAGTCCGTTCCAACTCATAGTGACCCTGTATTCTCATACTAATCCATGGATCCTGGTGTGGCACTGTATGATCAGCATTGGACTGTGAACCACAAGGTAAACAGTTCAACACCATCAGTTGCTCCTTGGTAAACCCTATACAGGGTTGCTATGAGTAGGAATTGACTCTATAGTACTTAACAAAAACATACTAATCCATAAAATCTATCCCTAATTTCAATGTATCCAGAAAGTTTTCCATGACAAATCAAATACACACACTGCTACTTTCTTTCTCTAAAATCCTATGGACAATTAACCATCCACTTATTTCTGTAAAAAACCATTAGGTAGTTTGTACTTAGTATGTGCAAAGTGAAGTGTTATGATAAGTAGCACAATTGATACACATAATCACACTTTTGTTCTATCTTGAGTCACTTACAGTGAAAGACAGGAGATATTCTTAACAGACCAAAGAATGTCACAAAGTAAACATAATAAGTTCCAGGAAACAATGTGTAGTGGAAGTCTGCAGGGAAAAAGAGAGATCATTTTTAGAAGGGATAGTTTCAAAGAAAGATTAATTCAGCAGCCAGCATTTGAGTCATGTCTTGAAATATTTTGACATGTGAAGTTAAAGAAAAGACAAAACAGTTAGAAAAAAATTCCTATATAAGCATGAAGGTGAAAATCACAGTGTTGCGATGTAACCCTGGCTGGCATTAAAATGAACCCAAGATGAAAAATGGAAAGTACTTATTTTTTCTTTAATATATAGTATGGAGTCCTGGTATGGAGCTATGGGATAAAGCATTGGACCTCAGTGCCAGTTTGAACCACAGGTAGGCTGTTCAAACTCACCAGCCACTCCTTGGAATCCTCATATAGGGTAGCTCTGAGTGGATCCCCCTCAATGGCACTTAACAACAAAGAACTGTTATCTACCCATTGTTTTGTCAGTTTGCAAAGTACTTATCACTTGGCAATTTCATCAATAACAATCAGTTCCAAGAAAAATGTCCAACAAACTCCCCCAAACCCTGTGACCTTAGTATTTTAAGGAGACAGTAGAGGTCACTATCTAATTTCTTATCCATGGCTGTCCTTTCACGAGTCCCCTATGACCTGAACACACAATGGAGACCTCATTTGGGAGGTTGGTCATTGAGATATCCTTTAATTAAGACATCCTCCTGCTTCCAGTGGGGTACACATACCCATTAGAACAGTGGGTCAGGCTGTAGTTACTGTCTGGAGTACAGGAGGAGTTTGTGGAGGAGAGGTTCTGCATAATCTAGAAGGGCCTTTTAAATCCTGAGATGAGAAAAGCAGTGAACTCGGGAAGAGGAAGCTACCATGTAGCCTCAGGGTGGAAAGATGTTGGAGGTTCCCTATTCAGAGAGGACATTAAATTCACCAGGACTCTTTAATAAAACACCCGTGCTCAGGGGCCACCCAAAACCAATTCAATCAGAATATGTGGTATAAGACCTGGGCATCACCATTTTCATCTTAACGCTTCCCAGGTAATCTAATCTGAGGGTCAAGAATTGTAGATGAATATGGTTGCTCTTTGATCTCCAGAGTTTTGGAAAATGTCTTAAATTTATGAAACATTTCTCATTGCCATTTTTATAACTATTGTCTTCACTCCCTTCAGGATTATCACAAAAATGAAAATTAGGTAGAGTAGACATATGTCTTAAATTTAAGGAGCTCTGGTAGTGTAGTAGTTACATTGGGCTGTGAACCGCAAGGTCAGCAGTTCGAAACTACTATCTGTTCTGTGGGAGAAAGATGAGGCTTTCTGCTCCTGTAAAGATTTACAGCTTCGGAAACACTGTACAGGGTCGCTATGAGTCAGAACCGACTCCATGGCACATAACAACAACAACATATCTTAAATTTGAGGTCATGGAAAGAAAGGGTTAGTAGAAGAGGCAAGATGGAGGATAGTGAAACCCTGAGAAGGCTGTGATCCACTGGTATCACCTAGTGAGCTTGAAAAAAAATTGTGAAACCAGGGTCCATCATTAGAAATTTTTATTGAACTAATCTGGGGTTGGAACTCAGACATCAGGACTTTTAAATGTTTCTGGGTAATCCTAATGTGCAACCATGGTTGATGTCTACTGGGGTAGAGCTAAAGAGATAAGAAGGCAGACTAATTTCCTATAGTCTTTGGAAAGAAATGAAAGCATGAGGGAATATGGTGGTGTCTGAACATCTCACTGCAAGGTCAGCAGTTCAAACACACCAGCTGCTCCTGGGAGATCCTATTCAGGTTCCTATAAGTCAGAACCTGACTTGATGGCACTGAAGAACAAACAACAACAATCTTTATGACGCAGATCACCACATCTTTCTCCCGTGGAGCAGCTGGCATGCTCAAACCAGTGACTCTTTGATTAGTAGCTGAACTCTTTTAACCACTGTGTCACCAAAGCTACTGAGTAGAAGGCCAACCTCGGTCTTTGAGTCAACTCTGATGCAAAGCTTCCCTATAGGACATAGTCAACTTTCCACATTGGGTAAAATGTCTGTGGAAGCAGTCTGTCTCCCTTTTCTCCTGTGGAGCACCTGGTGGCTTCAAACCACCAAATTTTGGGTTAGCAGTTCAACACTTAACCAACTGCACCACCAGGGCCCCTCAGTGGAAGGCCAGTGGCTGTAAAATACAGAAATCCAACTGCACATAGCATCAACCAACCCACAGGTTGTAACTACAACTCTTAGTTCAAAGGTTGGTGGAAAATATAAACAGAAAAAATAATTTAAAAATTAAATTGGGATTCAAAGTCCAATGTAAGGATTGGATTTTAAACAAGAATACTAGGGATTTTTCGTATGTATGTTGTTGTTGTTGTCAGGTGCCATTGAGTCAGAACCGACGCATA